CCGAGGGGGAGGGGGCGCCGGGTTTGGCGTCTTGCCGGTTCAGAGTTCAGACGAGACGGCGGCGGCGGTAATTCCGTTGGCCAGGCGAGGCGAGGCCAGGGACAGCTCGTGGGTCTCGGCGGAGGCTCAGATGCGGCCGAACCGCAAAAGTTAAAAGTTACGGCGTGCTCCGGACTCCTCCGCCCGCCCGCGCCCGTTCTCCGTGTGAGAAGCAGGATAGAAACAATCTTCCTTTTCCAATTCGTGACAAACAATCTACTCCCCTTTTCACTTGGTCCTTGGCGTTCAGCCACCAACCACAACCGGGTGCTACAGTGACAAGAGCAAAGCCTTCGAGGTTCGAATCCAACCATTCCCGTCGGCACGGCCGTCTTTTCTTGAATGAACTCTCAATGTTTCTTCGAGTTTCTCAAAAGTATCCAACCTATAGACACACAAACACAATGAACGAAGACCCGTCCACATAGATCTACAGAAAGACAAATGTCGACGAAGAGAATCATGTGGGGTCCGCAGGCGACATACCTTCATATGCCCTCCGATTATGCTACACGCACCACCGGGATGAGGGCTAGGCGTGGAGATCCTTGTGACACTTCGGGCCTGTTCGGCAGCTCACCGACTTCCCAAATCCTCAACTCCAGGACTGGAGCGCACCCGAACGGGTCAACTCCTGGCTATTCCATACAGAAGCGGGCGACCCGGCACAGTGCAAAATTGTAGGATCGGTGGAGTTGGAAAAACTGAGCTCCACAGAAACTAGGAAGCGGGAGTTGAAGAAAATTACTTTGTGCTGCCACCGCCAAGTGACTCGCTCGACCGAGCATCACGTACCGATTCGCTCTCAGGTCGTCTCTCTCCTACGAGCAGTCCCTCCCCGACCAGGCTTATGGCCCAGCCCATCTTTTTCCAACCTTTTTGCATTGCCAGCCTGCTACTGATGGGCCACAAAGATGTGATTTCATGGGCTTGAGGCTCGCTCCCTCGCGTGAGCGAGATGCCGTGACGCCGAACGGATCGCTCACTCCAGGATCGATCGTGAGAAGGTGGGGCTGGATTTGCGGCGTTGGAGTTGAAGATTTTCTGGGAACGGAGGGCTCCCGAACACGCCTTAAAAACGGAGCAGGAGCCCTCCCGTCGACAAGGACCAAGGTCCACCGCGCCTACATGAAGACCATAGGAGACGAGGCAAACCTGCATCGGTGTCGGCAAGAGGCGAGAAACCCTGATCGCTCGAGTTACGAGAACATAGGGGGTGAAGGGGTACAAGACTTCGCTTTATGTACATGATGTAAGTTGGGCTTTAAGTACAGCGCACTACCACTTTTTTTGTGTGGAAGCCCACTGTCACTGTTGGTATCAAATTTTGTTATACCTATGTTTCTCAATTTTGGAATTGAATTTTGTTGACATTATAGATTCGTGATGTGACAATAGGCTAATACTATTTATCTTTTTTCTGGAAGATCTATAAGCTCATAAATGAAGCCAGATGCGTATGATGCCTTCATAGCTTCCTTTAGAGCAAAGAGAAGTACATACTACAAACACATAGTTAAAATGTAATGTCGCAAGGTTGTGTTTGGATATCTTTGTTTTCCTCTAGCCCTAGACAGCTAGGGCAAAGTTTCTCCTCCAAACTTCACCGAGAAGCCTGTGGATTCGCATCCCCTCTGCCTACCGCTCGGTGGCCGATGGCAGGGAGGAGAATCCTGATGCCTCAGCTTAGGTTAGTAGTTTATTAGGTTAGGGTTTTTTAGTCCTCGCAAGTGTGGCGCTCGAGTTGATGGTGACGCTTCTTCTTCGAGTTCGTCTACCGGGCTCCAATCCTCCTCGAGTGTGTCTGTCTAGATGTAGTCGACGGAGCTCGTGCATAGATTACTGTCGTCTCCTTAGACGGTGAGATTAGGGTTTCTATGTGTTGAGATTTGGTGGCGAGTGCTTTAGATCTATGCAAGGGTTCCAACCGCGAGTACCGCAACTCCGGGCCGCTGTTCCTTAGGGTCACGTGCATGAAGACTTCCCGGCTGTCGTCGACAAGGTCAAGTTGGCTCCGTTAGCAGCGACAGCGACGTGTCGGCGACTTGTTCAGCAGTGGTCGTTTGATGGCCTCGAAATCTTAGTTTGTTATTTATATTTGAGATGCTTTGTACTCCCTCCGTCCGAAAAAGCTTGTCCCGCAAATGAAGGGACAAGCTTTTTTGGACGCGGAGAGTACTTAAGATGAATTTTTATAATAATTCTGATGATTTCCGAACGAAAATTGTAATGTCGCAGGAACCAAGGAACAACGAAGTTTTATAAATCAACGGCGACCACCAGGTCTGGTGCCTCTACCCGACCCGTTCCGTTCCGGCTAGTCGTGGTTCCGCCCGTGGTCCTCGTGGAAACAACAATAAATAAGCTCATTTAAAAAAAACACCCTCCGTCTAAAAAAAGATTGTCATCAAAATGGACAATAAAAGGGTGTACGCCCTCCATTCGTAAATATAAGTTTTTTTAGAAATTTCACTATGAACTAGATACGAATCAAAATGAGTGAATCTATACTCTGAAATATGTCCATATACATCCGTATGTAATTTGTACTAGAATCTTTAAAAAGACTTAAATTTAGAAACGAAGGAAGTATTTAAAACTAAAATACATCTAGATAACATCCCTTTTATTTATTTTGATGACAAATATGTCCAGACGAGAGTACATAAAGTGCATCGAGGCCTCGGCCGTACGGCGGCATCGTCACGCAGGACGCAGCACTCGCACCTGCGCGGCTCTTGTTTGCGCCCACCCGAGCCATGCCAAGCCTTGTCCTCAAAACAAGAAAAGGCCAAGCCAAAGCCAACGCCAACCCATGATCAATTGGCCTCTCCTACGGAGGAAACAGAAGCGCCACAGAAAAACGAGAAGGGCCGTCTCCGTGCTCCGAGGGCCGTAGCAAACAACGGGCTCATTTTAAAAAGAGGAGGGATGGGATGGCAGTACAGAAGCATCCGAACCCATCCATGAAAAAGGGGAGAGCGTCTCTTGTCACCTCCCTTCTCTTTTCCCTTTTCGCTTTGTTGTTTGGCGACTTGACTCTCACGTGTCCGTCTATCTTCCTCGCTCGCCGCCTCACCTGCGGCGCCATCAGTAATATACTCTCTCCGTTCCTAAATATAAGTCTTTGAAGAGATTTCACTGTGGACCACATACAGAGCAAAATGAGTGAATCTACATACAAAATGCATCTATATACATCCGTATGTGGTTCGTAGTGAAATACCTACAAAGACTTATATTTAGGAACGGAGGGAGTAGATAGTAACAGCACAATATCTAAATAAAACAAATGATGTGGCAAGCAATAAATGAAGAAATAGAGATATGTAGTAACATAGCTAGTTACTACTAGTATGAGTAACATCACACATATCAAGGCAAGATAAGTCTATAGCATAATAAATGAAGGAGTTAAATACACTAAAAGTCTTACAACTTGCGCGCGGCGATCAGTTTGGTGCACGAACTTGCAAAATACGTGTTTCTGGCCATTGAACTTGTGCGGGTGTGCAAATACGGTCATATTTTCCGTACGTGGATGTATTTGCTGCCTACGTGGCAATGCCAGTGTAGCAAGGACCCATTGTCAGTGCCTAGTGCACGTGATGTTTTTTCTGCAAAAACACCCTTGTTTTTTTACTTTGTACAAAAGCACTCCAACAATAGTTGTCCGCTGGGTCCCAGCCATCAGTATTCGCTGTGAAAACATTTGGCTGCAAAAAAAGGGACGGAGCGAGTTCAAAACTACAAACTGTTGTAATGGCGCTAACAACCTAACCACCTCAACTGATCGTGCTTGCTGTTTCATTTGGACTACTAAGGTATATCACCTCTTGGATAAAAGTACACATTCTGAATATATTTTCTTTTCTCTACATTTTCCAATTCAAAATGATTCAGATTCAAACAAAATTTCCACTGATTTGTTTGAAAGAAAATTACATACATTCCTTCTGCACAACATTTTCTTTTATCTAGATTTTTAATTTAAAATTCGAATTTAAAGAAAAAAGTTATTTGATTTTTCCGGGAAAAATTACGTAAATTCATTCGGACCTGTATTTTCGTTTATCAAGATTTTCCAATTTTAATGTATTCGAATTCAGACAAAATATCCAGTGATTTGTTCGAAAGAAATTTGCGTACATTGATTATGAATTGTATTTCTTTTATATAGCTTATTCAAATTCAAACAAAAATTAGATGATTTGTCCAAACAATACTTACATTCATTCTGAGCCACATTCCTTTTCTCTAGATTTTCAAATTCCGAATTATTCGATTTGAAACAAAGTTTTTCTGATTTGTCCCCATAAAATGTGTATATTCATTGTGCACTATATTCACTGTGCACTATATTCACTTTTCCATATTTTTAATTTTTAAATTATTTGAATTCAAACAAAAAATAGTTAATTTCTCCGAAAAATTTATGTACATTATTTTTTACATATAATTTTTTAATCTAGAGTTTCGAATTTATAATGAGTTCTGTTGATTGTCCGAAAGAAATTGACGTATATTCATTATGAACTATATTTTATTGTAAATGGAAAAAAGAAAGAAGAATACATAAGATAAATTGTGTTTATCTATTTAAATGTCATTGTGGCTGATGTTTTTTTAACTCATTGTGGCCGGATGGTTGGTGCTCCCACACGCGGCAAGCTTATGTGTTCATAGGTTTTTCTAAAAAATGTGGTCATAGGTTTGAACCGGTGCCTTCCCTTTTTCTCGTTTTGGTTTTTATTTTAGCTCGTACTGTCTTTTTTTAAGGCCGCACAATATTTTTTATATAAAGCTAATTGTGCTCCAAGAGTGTGAACAATATGTAGGTCAATTGGTTATCCAAGCGTGGCGGATCGTAGCAGTTCGAATCCTCTCCGGCGGGCCCAAGGGCACGCGTTCGTCCTTTGCCGGTCCGACGCCGCTGTCGCCGGACAGACGGGGATCTTGGAACGTAGCAGGGGCTCTCGCTCTCCCTGGTGGCCTGGCGCTGGCGGTGAGCTGCCCGTACCGTACGCGGCCGATCACACGCGACGCGAACGATCGTGGGGATGGACGTCGTCGACCGCCATGTTGCTTCCGGCTTGGCGTTCTCCGCCCGGACGTGCACGCTTGTGGCTAGGGGACGCCCGTGCCTTCCCAGCTCGGAGCTGCCGACCCTGTGCCGGACTACACAAAACAAACCAAACCATGCCGCAAGTCTATGGGAAAAGAGCTGACGTTGTATTCTACTACCACGTAAGCACATGATGCACGGTGAACCGTCTTGTTGTTCGTGATAGCGTACTCCCAATGCCGAGGAGGACGGCACCGCGGCGAGCGAAACCAGGCGTAGTGACAAAGCATATCACATCGCCAAATTAACCATCCTAATGAGTTGCCGAAATCAGACAATAAAAATGTCCTATGCGCAACACTTTAGTTGCAGTAAATTTACCTAGATGAAATTGTTCCTCTTAAAGGTGTTGATCTGCAACCCTTCA